CACGGACGGCGAAAAGACAATGGCGCCCCTTGCCCTGATCTACAATCTTTGACAATATAGATTGGGACAATCTAGTTTTCACATGCATTCGGTTGTAATACACCATTTCCTCATACATTTTTTCCACCCTCCCTCCCCCTACCCGTTTCAATGTTGGCGCCGCGCATCCAGACATCAGATTTTTTGTTGGCCCAACATTGAACTGGGGGAACGGGGGCGCTATTCCTTTCAAATTACAATAATTTGCTGCCGTAATATATATATAAACCTTATATGTATTTTTCTTACTATATTTAATTAATACGGCTTCATTTTATCATGATGCTGAATGTTATTAACAAAAGCTTGACAGGAGAAGGCAAGGTGTCTAAACAAGTGGTTAACCGCTTAATTCAATGGCGGCCATTATTGATGCTTGTGAAATACTCAGCGTTTGTGCCAGCGAAACTAATAATATCACCTATGGTAAGTTGTTAAAGTATAAAGAATACTTCCAAGTTCAACCTGACAAGAAAATTAAGAGCGGTTGTCTGTAATAGTCAGGTAAGACGTGTAAAATGAGAAAATTCAAACTCGTTCAAACTTTGTCAGAATATAGGCCTATATGAAGTATTAATGTTGTGAAAGTTTTATTTCGATCGGATAAATATTGAAGGAGAGAGACGTCGAAATTGGTTTTCCCAGGCCACTTTCGATTTTTAGAGGTCATTTTACGGCACTACCAAAATCGCTCTATTTTGCACGTTAATGAGAATATTTGACAAAACATGATTTCGTTTTATAAATTAGAGATATTTATTGATTAGCAGACGAAATTTAGAGACATTTCTATAAAAATTGAATATTTTACCGATTTTCTTAATGTTTTTTTTTATTTTCGAACCTCTTTATTATATGCCATATTAGGCAGCGAATATCTCCATTGTTACATCGATTCAGACAAAAAATTCATAACCAGATCAAAGAAATATGTTTTTCCTTGCTATTAATTAATCAAATAAAATTTATGGGCAACTTAGAATTGAATTTTTTTTCGTAACCCCTATTTGACCGGAATAACCGTATGTTAATATAATCAGCGTCGAGTCATGTAGTTCAATAAATAACCAAAGAGCTCGTCAAAAGCGTTTAATTCTTCGAGTAAACAAGCCTAGGCCTATAAAACTACCTTTGCTAAAGCTGTGCGATTGGCTGAAAGCATTTAGGTCTAAATCACACTGTTTACAGTCGCTTCTTGTTCAGGTAATGCCCGATAGCCGGTGCCGCTGATTTGGCAGATTTGGTTTCAATTATATTTTATCAGGGATATGACGCGATAAGTATAGCGAGTATATTTTCTCTCCCCCTCCCATAAACTCGTGTTCCCACATAAATAGTGCACACGCTTTTTGTAAAAAAACATAGGCCATTTGCAAGGTCATACGATGTAAACGTCGCATCGTTTTGACGTTTTTTAGTCGTATTTCCGGTTGGGTAGCTCACGCGATTGTCTGAACAAAAATATAGACTAGCCATACCTTTCGCCGCGAATAACTTCGACCCCTTCAAACATATCGTCCTTGTAATAGTCTTGTTCGAATCCCCATTAAAAACACTATTTAGAGTGTTATTTGCAAGCCTGTATCTTCAAATTTGCATCTTTTATCACGGTATTTCCATTTCTTGTCCGGCTGTGAGCTCGAGGCTCGAAGTAACTATTTGATAGTACAGTATACGATCGCATTTGACTTTCAAACTCCCATAAATCGCTACAATGTTAATAATGACTATAACTATGGTTTGGAATTAGTTGATCTTTTATTTCTGAATCGAATGGTGGTATTTCTGTCTTCATAGGCATAACATGCACTGATCCGAAGATATGAAATTTCTAGCCCCGTCAACTGCTCTCGAGGACGACCTCGCAAAGAGTTTTAATTTAATTAATATTAAAGCTGGATTCTTTCACCGTGATATCATGCCAAAAGGTGTCTTTTTCATTTGTTAAAATGTCCTTTAATTAAAAAAGATCCCGGCTCTATATATTGATTTGTGATTTGGTAATATTAATTACAGTTGTACATTTGATTATTTTGTTAGTGCTCAATAAGTTTGAATTTGTTCTGACAAAACAGTCAAACTTCAGACCAAACTTCTGCGCTGTTGCTTATTTAGTAGTTTAATTAACTGCCCATCACTTTTAAAACAGCAAGAAGATAAAGACAACGTGTACGGGTACCACCTGCACGAGCCGATTAGTTCATTATTTTCTGTCTGACATATACTTTTGATCCAATTGCAATTAAATTTATCCAACCATTTCTGGATGATACATCTACAACAGGCAGTACTCAGGCGAAAGAAAAGTCAAGAAAGGCAGGCCAACTTTCCCAGAGGGTGGCCCGGAATGGTGGAATTGTGCAACGTGTTAAATATTAAGGAATATTCTGAAAATTGAGGTCGAAAAAAGTCTGAAAAGTATTTTAGACCCCCCCCCACCCCCGTTATCGCAAAATTAATTTATATAATTAGACTATTATATAACTAAAAAATTCGGCCCCCTTCCTTTTACGGGCCCCCCTCAAAATGTTTTCTGGTAAGCAAAAATGTTACAGTAAAATGTAAAGGGGGGGTGGGTGGGTGGGGCGACGTTTTTTTGAAAAAAAAGTTCCAAAAATTATTTTTGCGATAATGGGGGGTTCAAAATACTTTTCACATCTTTTTCTTCCTCAATTTCAGAACACGTTGCGCAATTCCAGCATTCCGGGGCCCCCTCTGTGAAAGTTGGGCCCCCTTTCAAGTTGACTTTTTTGGCCTGAGAACTGCCTGAGTGTTCTAGATGTATCATCCAGAAATGGTTGGATAACTGTAATTGAAATTGGACCAAAAGTATATGTCAGATAACGCGTAACCACAAACAGCCATACAAAAGAGAAGAAATATACCGGGGGAAATCCCTACATGTAGCTTAACACATACAGGAGAGATTATTTATAACTCATTAATTTTATCCACGAAGACGGAATTCATTTTGTAAACCAACTATTTATTTCATGGATAACTCACACGTACATGTTGTCTTTATCTTCTTGCTGTTTTAAACTGAAGTGATGGCCAGTTAAAACTACTAAATAAGTAACAGTGCGTAGAAGTTTGGTCTGAAGTTTGACTAAAGTTATTGAGCAACAACAAAATAATCAAATATACAAGACATACAACTGTAGTAAATATTACCAAATCATAAATGAACAGAGGGTCTTTTTTAAAAATAGAAAAGACACCTTTTGGCATGACATCACGGTGAAAGAATCCAGCTTTAATATTAATTAAATTAATTACTGTAAGTAAACGAATTACATATTCAACGTAAACTGACAGATGTTTTTGACAAAAAGCGCGTGCACTATTTATGTTCGAACAGTTATAAGCACGACGAGTCGTGAAAGAACAAATGTTTGTGGGAAGGGGAGAGAAAGTTCACTTAGCTTGCTATACTTATCGCGGCATATTCCCGATAAAATATAATTGGGACCAAACCGCGGCCAAATCAGCGGCGCCGGCTATACAATATATTACAGGCATTACCTGAACAATAAGCGACTGTAAACAGTGTGATTTAGACCTAAATGCTGGCTGCCAATCGTACAACTTTAGCTAAGGTAGTTTTATAGGCATAGGCTTGTTTACTCGAAGAAGTAAACGCTATAGACGAGCTCTTTGGTTATTTATAGAACTACATGACTCGACGTTGATTACATAACATACGGTTATTCGGGTCAAATAGGGGTTACGAAAAAATTCGTTAAAAATTCAATTCTAAGTTGCCCAAAAATTTTATTTGATTAATTAATAGCAAGGGAAAACATATTTCTTTAATCTGGTTATGAATTTTTTGTCGGAATCGATGTAACAATGGAGATATTCGCGGCCTAATATGGCATATAATAAAGAGGTTCGAAAATAAAAAACATTAAGAAAATCTGTAAAATATTCACTTTTTACAGAAATGTTTCTAAATTTCGTCTGCTAATCAATAAATATCTCTAATTTATAAAACGAAATCATGTTTAGTGAAATATTCCCATTAACGCGCAAAATAGAGCGATTTTGGTAGTGCCGTAAAATGACCTCTAAAAATCGAAAGTGGCCTGGGAAAACCAATTTCGACGTCTCCCTCCTTCAATATTTATCCGATCGAAATAAAACTTTCACAACATTAATACTTCATATAGGCCTACATTTTATCCCTTTCCTACAGAAAGATTTTGATTTTTTTCATTTTACACGTCTTCCCTGACTATTACAGACAACCGCTCTTAAGTGGCTAGGAAATTTTGATGAACTGAAATGTTTGATAGTTGATCTGTTTGGTATTGATGGGAAATGGAGTTCGCCGAGAGGCACCGCAAAGGCATTTCGAAACGAGAAAATAACTATTACATGGTACACCAACAAGAAATCTTTATTATTTCAAGGCCAAGAAGGTAACCGCTTGAAAGAGGTTATATTAAATCAATCTAGTAAGAGTTCTGACTTGTTTACGGAGAGTATAGTTAATCATTAATCTATCCCTTGTGCTTCAAACAACGATAACCTGTTATGTGCGAGTCGAACCGTGGCCAAAACAGCTAAAATATCTATGATTAACGACAATATTAGATCTAAAAGCGAGGTTACAAACAATATCAGATTGCTCAACCCTTAAAGATCTACAAGATTTTATCGACTTTTCATATCAAAAAATATTGCTGCTGAATAATAATGTCAATTTATCGTCTACACGAATTTTTTATTGTTCTACCCCGTCTCGCTCGAGTGTTGGTGACAACTCGCCTGCTATAGAGAAACTGTTTGGCTTTTTCAAAAAGAGTTTGACTCTAAGGTCAAAGCCTTGATTTTCGAACTTTCGGTGCAGAGGGAAACCATTGACAGATGTAAACAGGATATATGTAAATTGACCAGTGAAAATTCAAATCTAAAGTCACGCCTGGCGGAAATTGAAGAAAAAGTGTTTCCTATAGGAATAAATCTAATGATGTTATTAAAAACTCTAAAATCAAAGATGTTATTAGCAGAACCCCACGATATTACCTGCCCTCAACTGGCTCAAACGAAGCCCCTAGTGCAACTAATGGTTCTACTAACAGCCTCCCAGTAAATAACCACCAAGTATGTGTACCCAAGGAGGGCTCGAGCGAAACTGTATTTTGCAGTCCCTCGTTAACCTATCAGCCGGCAGTTGTCTGCGACATGGATAACAATTTAAAACGTAAGCCCTCAGCAGCTAAAGAATGCACGCCTTCTAAAGTTAACGGAAACATTGAGCCATCGATCGATCCGGAAGGAATTAGGCGGAATTTTGGGGGAATCCCATGAGATTCCTGCGAATTGGGTGGGTCGAAGATCCGGATGAAATTCGGAAAGTGGGTGGGGCGGAAATTCGGATGAAATTCGAGGCGCAATTGAAAAAGTGCTCAGAACCCGCATATACACACTACTTCTGTGTTAATTGAACCTTTCGCGAGTGCTATTGTCTCAATTATAGCCTATGGCTGAGTATGACTTGTTTAATATTGTGGACGCATTTCTGTCGAAAATCGGTCCATCATTAAATGCTTAATGTACGCATCGGTAATTACCTCTATACTAGAAAATACATGCATGCAGAAACCCTCGCCTTGCTGACAAAACCATTGTATTTTCCGAACATGAAGTATCTAAGTTGTCATGGTAATACGATAATTTTTTAAGAATATTCTTACAAGTAAGAAATTGCCTATAAAAATCACTTTTAATCACAAAATTGTTAATTTCCCAACATATATATGTTAGGTATGTTATTATACGTAATATAAGCCTCGATTTAAGGTAAAATTCAACCACAAACGCTTCGCAAAGCATTTTAAAGTCATTAGTGTTCTTTAATATAAAACTAAACTGCCTTTTATCGATTAAACTTTGAGTTTGCAATAAAATGATTTAAAATTCTCGCTTGCAAATAACTTTGCTTTCTTATTTATTTAAAAAATTCAATATCATAAAAAAGGGAATCAATATTAAAGATACACTGAAATTATATGCTGTCTTGTTTAATTGTTTCATATACGCAAAGGCCGTCGGGTTTTAAATCCATTATAAAATCAATATTTAAAACAAACTTACCTTCGTTAACGTCGGCTCCCTTCTTTTAGCCGATTCTTTCGCAGTTCCTTTCTCAGAGAGCTTTTGAAATTTACAAAATCTTGCAAAAATGCGAGCAAAAATGAAATATATTTGCAAGAAATTTATCAATCATAAAATCAACTCAAGAAATGTTTGCTATTTCGCTGTCGTCATGCAGTCGTTATAATGCAAACTTTAAATTGGACCAATCAGTGTCCGCTATTCGTGATAGTCCGCCATATTTTTGAGATCAGTCTCGGGGACTATTGCGTGTGAAGCACGGCAGGTCTAAAATGTATGTTTCGTATATGTGTACTATACTTTTAGTTTTAGGCCTACTATATATATCGGGCATAGTCGTGTTTAGAGTAGAGACCTTACGCAAGTCCCAGGTCGGCTGTGTTATATAGCTAACAAGTTCGATCGTACTATAGTGGACCAGGAACTTTCTGCGAAACTTTCTTCCGCAATAAGCCTTTCCCCTTATAGCACTTGGCGCGCTAAGCATGACGGTTGGAGTATGCAATTTGCTTTCGAACGAAATGGCTGCCGTATGAGAGATCGATTTCGGGCGAGAGAAGAATCGGCGGATTTTTAACAACATTAAGTGTCCATCAATGTCTGTTGTCTTTGCAAAATTACGAGGAGGTTTGTCACTACAAGTGGAAGAAATTTCGTGGCGATCTGGGCGTTAATGGTGATAAAAATCCGTTGAGTAGACGAGAAGTTGTGAACATGCTTCGCGTAAATTTGCTCGCGAAAAATTGACCACACGAACTAAAACAGGTGAGTTCCCTTTTCAACTTGCGATCGGCTAATTTTTTTTAACAAAATAAGCTTAACTGATACTGTGTCTTATTTGATCTCTGGGATATTTTACTACAGTACTTGTACAAATTAAAAGTCGTTTTAAGCTTCCTGAATTTGACATATGTCGTAACCATCTTGTTCAAATTTGCCATTGAAGTGCCGTGGCCTTGCCAAATGTTTTGGATTTGTTTTGGCGCGAAAATATACTGAATTTGAATGAGCAACACAAGCTATAGTGACAAAATATAAAGTTGAAAGTGCTTTTCTTGGTTCACTGTTGTTATTTGTCCTCTAGTTGAAGTTTGCTTTGGTTTTCATCCTCCATTGTAATTTAATAAATTGTTCGTGGGTTATAGAATAATATTTAGGTAAATAAATTTCAATTTTTGAACTTATAGCATAGGAAATAAGCATTTAGATAGCATATTTTAGGTAAATTCATAAACATTTAGATAGGTTAATTTAGGTAAATTGATTTAAATTCAGTTTAAAATTAAAAAGATAAATATATTGTAAATTTTTGTAGTCAGAGTATAAATGTCTAGGTGAATATAAAGTATAAGTATAAGTGTCTAGGTGTATATAAAGAGTATAAGTGTCTAGGTGTATATAATTTTTTAAACTATATAATATGGAGAGTGAACCAAGCACTTCGCATGAGACGAATAGTACTGAATCTGTTGAAATCACCAGAATATGAATCAATTCTGCTGTATACCACAATGTGAGAACAATAATAGAAAAACTCCTGAGATGTCATTTCATAAAATACCGAAAAATCCAGAGTTGAGGAAAAAGTGGGTTCGTTTGTTGAAAAGGAAAGGTATAAGGGACCCTGGTCCCAGTCACAGGGTATGCTCTACACATTTTGTGGGTGGAGCAAAAACATACAGCAACAACATTCCAACAATTTTTGCACTGATACAACAAGAAAACCTAGAAAAACCCCACTGCTCGGACAATGGACAATAAAAAGCCAGTTATTGCAGAACAATATACATTGGAAAATACAAGTCAAGATAGCTCTGTCATTGATGATAGCTCGACTAAAGATGACAACTCTAAAAATACAATTCAGGATCTTGAGAATACAATATCATCACTGCAGGCACAAAATATATGGCTTTGAGTACAAAATATGATGAAGATGTTGCCAAATTAAAGTGTGGGGTATTTCATTTGGAGAGATTTATTAACAGTGACAGTGATTTTAAGTTTTACACTGGCTTTCCAAATTATTCTTGTTTCAAAGCATTTTACAACTATATACCTTTTCCCAGCCTGTGAACATCTTCTATACCATGGTTCAAATACTGCTCCTATAACCTCAGATAGCCAAACTAAATGCGGCAAACCAAGATCTATGTCTCCAGAACAAGAATTATTTCTTGTACTCATAAGATTACGATTTGGGTAACTTGTACAAGATATTGCACATTGCTTTAGTATTTCGACAACACAAGTCTCTAGAATTTTTAAGACATGGAGTGTATTCTTATACCAACGCCTTCGTGCTCTACCAATTTGGCCTAGTCGGAATTTTGTTGATTATAACATGCCTGGCTGTTTTAAACTAACATATCTGAAAACTAGAGTAATAATTGACTGCACTGAAATTTTCATTGAGATGCCATCATCATGCAGAAGTCAGTCCATCACATTCTCAAGCTACAAAAACCACAATACAGCAAAGGGCTTAGTTGGAATATCACCCAATGGATACCCTAGTTTTATCTCTAGTCTGTATGCAGGCCGAACTAGTGATAAGAAGATTACACATGACTATGGCATACTAAAGCTTCTTGAACCAGGAGATGAATTGATGGCAGACAGGGGATTCAATATTGAGGCTGACATGCCAAATGGAGTGTCTTTAAACATTCCACCCTTTTTAAATGGACAGCCTCAGCTATCAGCAGAGGATGAGGTGAAAACACGAAAAATTGCCTCAGTCCGTGTACATGTTCAGCGTGCAATTGCAAGAATAAAAACTTATAGAATTTTGCATCAGGTACTGTAGTTCCCCTGACATTGGCTGAGAATTTAGAACACATTTGGAATGTTTGCTCCTATTTAACACTATTTTTACCACTTTTCATGAGGGAAAAACAAGTTTAAACTGTTGAGTTATAGGTGACCTTTAGTAAATCGTAATTGCACCTTGTTAACATTACGATGGCCGAGAAGGGCCATGACTGTAAACACTCGCCGTTTTTTTACCATTACACTCGTCGTTTTTTTCCCTTCAAAATTAAACTCGCCGTTTTTTTCTTCAGCATTACACGCGACGTTTTTTTCAGTTATGATGCAATAATTACACGCGACGTTTTTTCAATGCAATGTTACACGCGACGTTTTTTCAATGCAATAATTACACGCGACGTTTTTCCCAAAAATTACACTCGCCGTTTTTGTAGAGTTACGTTTTAAACTGAGGGTTTCACTTCGGACGAAGATGGGAGCAATCATTTAAGGTTATGTGTGTTTCATCAAAACTAAAACTCATGTAAATACAGTACACATGTGGCCAGACATCAAATTTGCATATCACGCTGAAATATGGCTTCTGCAGTAAACAGTAAATTATTGATTACGCGATGCTGTAAATCCCAAAGTCCGAGAATATGGTAGGTCGTTTGTAGCTTGTTTCAGTCGCTGGCTATAAATCAAGTCTGTACGTCGAAGTATTTAGCGTAATTTTGCCACTTGGTTTTAGTTAGTGACCATTCTGCATTTTCAGTTTTTGTACAGAGGTTAGTTTGTACGCAATTTGTCTATTTATATTTTATATATAAGGATACCACACTGTCTATAGCCCTTAGAAACAAACGAAAATGCAGAATAGGAAGTAACTTACACCAGGCAAACACTCCACGATATACCGTGTTCTGCAACCAGCAATCGAGGCAAACTGCAAACGACTCATACCAATAAGGCTCTGATTTTGCGATTTGAAGCATCGCGTAATAGAATCAACTGTTTACTATCGAACCCATATTTCAACGGGTTATGTATTAAATCGGATATGCAAAGTTAGTAAGGTAGAATAATCATGTCCGTGATTTCTGGCCATGAAATTTCACTTTCAGTCGGTTATGAATCAATGATTAATGCATTGTTTTCAAAACACACAAAGCTTTTGTTTATATAGTTTGGGAAACACAAAAGAAAACAATGCATTACAGTATATATTCATAATTAACTGACTGACTGAAAAGTGAAATTTTGTACTCATGTATTTACATGATTTTTAGTTTTGATGAAACACACATAACCTTAAATGATTGCTCCCATCTTCGTCCGAAGTGAAACCTTCAGTTTAAAACGTAACTCTAAAAAAACGGCGAGTGTAATTTTTGGAAAAAACGTCGCGTGTAATTATTGCATTGAAAAAACGTCGCGTGTAATTATTGCATTGAAAAAAAGTCGCGTGTAATATTGCATTGAAAAAACGTCGCGTGTAATTATTGCATCATAACTGAAAAAAAACGTCGCGTGTAATTCTGAAGAAAAAACGGCGAGTGTAATTTTGAAGGGAAAAAACGACGAGTGTAATGGTAAAAAAACGGCGAGTGTTTACAGTCATGGCCCTTCTCGGCCATCGTATAACATAATTATATTGTTTATTCTGTATTACAATTCTGGTAACATGTATTCAGAGTAAAAACTGATTTGCTCTGGAAAAACTTTTTGCCAGAATTCATTATCAAAGCAAATTCTCTCAACATGCAAGTCAATATTTGTGAAAACAACAAAATCACACCAGGTAACACCAAGTGTGGCCATACACCATCGAATTTGATAAAAATAATTGTTGCTTTTCTTTAATGTGACCTTTCCATTCAATTTTTCTAAAAAGAAGTTTTTATCATTGCAAGCATCATCAATGCTTAAGTTCTTTTTTGAGAATGGGCATTTGACTTCTTCGATGCTAAGTGATGCTGCTTCTGTGCTGTCAAACACTAAAAAATCAGGACTAGCACCTAACCATGGAAACTTCAAATTCACAACCAACCCACAACTTGCATAATGTCAACATTTTTCCCATGTCTTCTTTTCAATATGTAGTACTCTTGAATTGCTTTCACTTCCTTATCGTATTCCCACTGACAAGGTTTGGGACAGGTGGACTGCTTTGATTTGCGAATAGTTGTTAATAGTGACTTAGGGTATATTTGTTTTCTACGCTTAACAACCGCTCCAAAATTTGAAGATGTGAGCCTTTTTTGCCGTTGATCAAACCAGGTATCACTTGAGGACTGTTCTCTAGTGTTTCGCTCAATTTGAAGCACTTCTGCATGTGTAATTTTAACTAAGGAGCTTAAGCTGTTGATAGCATCACAATTTGTTACAAATTCTTTAGCTGTAGTGGAAGATAATCTTTCAAATATTTTATCCCAAACACTAGAATTATTTATATTGAGATGCATTTACATTTACCACCTTTGCCTGCTGTACACGTACAGTTGCTATACACAACCTCCCCATTTGCTTCATTTAAATGGACATAAACAGTGTATGTGTTGCTTTTCATTGCAGCATTAACAGTGCCTTTAACTAAGAAGCAGGACATGTTCCCTTTAGTGATATTTGGTTTAACCTGGACTTGCCCAACATATTTGTCTTTGAACATTTGATAGCCCAATTTCTTGTGTTTCTGAGAACCTGTACCAGAATTTTCAGTCCCCAAATGCTTGATTAACAGTTCATATGTAAATGCTGGAATGCCATGTAAATCGCTTGTCCATCTTATTGTTACTGGTAATTCACTACTATTCGTCTCATGCGAAGTGCTTGGTTCACTCTCCATATTATATAGTTTAAAAAATTATATACACCTAGACACTTTAATTTATACTCTGACTACAAAAATTAACAATATATTTATCTATTTAATTTTAAACTGAATTTAAATGAATTTACCTAAAATATCCTATCTAAATGTTTATGAATTTACCTAAAATATGCTATCTAAATGTTTATTTCTTATGCTATAAGTTCAAAAATTGAAATTTATTTACCTAAATATTATTCTATAACCCACGAACAATTTATTAAATTACAATGGAGGATGAAAACCAAAGCAAACTTCAACTAGAGGACAAATAACAACAGTAAACCAAGAAAAGCACTTTTAACTTTATATTTTGTCACTATAGCTTGTGTTGCTCATTCAAATTCAGTATATTTTCGCGCCAAAACAAATCCAAAACATTTAGCAAGGACACGGCACTTCAATGGCAAATTTGAACAAAATGGTTACGACATATGTCAATTTCAAGAAGCTTAAACGACTTTTAATTTGTACAAGTACTGTAGTAAAATTTCCCAGAGATCAAATAAGACACACTATCAGTTAAGCTTATTTTGAAAAAAAAAATTAGCCGATCGCAAGTTGAAAAGCGAACTCACTCGTGTGGTCAATTTTTCGCGAGCAAATTTACGCGAAGCATGTTCACAACTTGTCGTCTTCTCAACGGATTTTTATCACCATTAACGCCCAGATCGCCACGAAATTTCGTCCACTTGTAGTGACAAACCTCCTCGTAATTTTGCAAAGAAAACAGACATTGATGGACACTTAATGTTGTTAAAAATCCGCCGATTTTTCTCTCGCACGAAATCGATCGCTCATACGGCAGCCATTTTGTTCGACGGCAAATTGCATACTCCTACCGTCATGCTTAGCGCGCCTAGTGCTATAAGGGGAAATGCCTATTGTTAAAGCAAAACTCTGCCGTGCTTCAAGGTCAAGTAGATGTACAATATCCCGGAGTGTCTCAAGATCAAGCGGGTACACAAAATCAGACTCTTCCCGAAGTATCATACGATCAAACAGGTTCAAAAGAGCAATCAAATCCCAGCGTATTATACGATAGGTCGGGTGCAGCTACTAAGCTAGGGCATACGCCTGTAATGCGGCTAGATGATGATGATGACTATATCCATGTGCCAGCCAAGTGAGTTCGAAACTTGGACGATGTCAATTTTGACGATGATGTTAATGATGAGTTGGAGGAGTTAGAAACAGAGAACATTCTCCCTCCAAACTCTAATGGGAAGCTAGCACGACAATCGCAGTTTCTGGAAACAGCTGTAAAACGGATAAATAAATTTGAGAAAAAAACTTTGGTCAAAACGTACCCGAGGCCAAACGTGGACGCTGCGTACACGCCAGCGATGGATGAATTTTTAAAACCTTTCATCCACGGAGTAGCAACACCTATTAAACCGCATAAAGATTTACAGGATAGTATTCTAGATGTATTTGGTCCTCTGTGTACAGCATATGAAAATTTGTTATCCATGGAAAGCACCATGACATCTGATAGGTGCTTGAAATGGATGCTACTGGTGTTCGTAGCTACCAGGATTGTCTCAAACATGCCTGGCTGTTAACTGGAGATGTAGTTGCTCGAATTTCCACAAATCGTCGGGAACTTGTATTGAAGAAAATAAACCCCCTAATGGTGTCGTTAGCTCAAGAAGAGTTCTCTGAAACAAATCGGAATTTGTTTGGATCAGGTTTTGAACAACGGCTCAAAACAAGATCTGAGACTGCAGAGACTATCGGCAAAGTATCTCGAGCAAGCAACCCCTTTTTTTCGTGGGGCGGCCTCCAGGGGATTCCACAGACCTCGTGGGGGCCGACAAGGATTCAACTTCAAGACCTTTCGCCCATTCAGTCCCAGAGGGACCATGTTCAACAGGGGGAAGAGAAACCGAGGCCGGGGCTCATCTCCAAGATTTACAAATCCCCAGACTTACAAGTTGTTCCACCAGTAAAGAATTTCAGACCAGATTGTTCACCCAAAGGTATGTTTTCAGAACTTTTTCAGGTCAATTTGACTCAAAATATACCCCAAACGGGACGCGTAAAGTTTTTCACCCCCGCATGGGAAATGATCACACAGGACCCTTGGATCCTGCAGGTCATCCAGGGTTAGCAGATAGAACTTGTAACTCCTCCAGTGCAACAGTCATTACCCAATGTACCAAAGCTTTCTTCAACACAAGAGACTGTGTTGGAGCAAGAGGTAAAAGAATTGTTGATGAAGCAAGCAATTCATCCAGTACAATCCCCAAAGCTAGAGGCAGGATTTATAAGTTCTATCTTTGTGGTGCCCAAGAAATATGGGGGAAATCGTCCAGTAGTAAATCTAAAATCCCTGAACCAGTTTCTAGGCTACGAGCATGTCAAGATGGAGGGCATCCACATGTTAAGGGATCTATTAAAGAAGGAAGATTTTCTCGTGAAAATCGAGCACAAGGATGCTTACCTGACAGTGCCAATTTGGAAGAACCACCAAAAATATCTGCGATTTCTTTGGAAGGACACCATGCTGGAGTTCTCATGCCTTCCTTTCGATTTGGCGACCGCGCCAAGGGTTTTTACCAAGCTTATGAACCCGGTAATAGGGGCATTGAAGCAAAGAGGTATTCGCGTAATTATATATTTAGACGATATCCTAATTATGGCCGAATCTCACAATCTAGCATTACATCATGCAGCCTCAACCCTGAATCTCCTAGAGGGGCTAGGTTTCATAGTAAATTACCAGACGTCACAACTCTTGTCTTGCCAAGAGATGGAATTTCTGGGGTTTTTGATTGATTCAAACGTCATGACACTCCAACTTCCAGGAGGAAAGTTGCGAAAAATCCGCAGAAAGTGTCAGAAATTGTTGGATCAAACGACAATTTCTATACGAGAACTGTCAAAATTCCTGGCCCTCCTAACCTTCTCCATTCAGGAAATATTCCCTGCTCCTATTCATTACAGGCATCTTGAAAGGCGAAAAATACAACTTTATCCTCCGTTCAAACATACGAAGCCCAGGTTGCTTTAGACCAGCAGCCACAGAAGAGATTCTTTGGTGAAAAGACCATCTCCATGCATGGAACGGCCGGGCTTTGTTTCAGGATCCTGTCGAGCTTATAATCGAGACGGATGCCTCTCAGAAGGGGTGGAGAGCATATTGCGAAGGGATGAGGACAGGGGGTCCTTGGTCCTTCGAAGAAAAGAGACTTCACATCAACTGCCTCGAACTCCTTGCAGATTCTTTGGCAATCAAAACATTCACCAAATCCAGAGCTTGTGCTCAAGTAAAACTGCTGATGGACAATGCTTCAGCAGTTGCTTACATAAACAAGATGATGGATACTCATTCGCAGGTCTTAGCGAAATTAGCGATAGATCTGTGGGAATGGTGCTTCCAGAAAGATATGATGGTGTCAGCTCAACATCTCGCGGGGACTTGAATGTAAGGGCAGACCAGGAGTCCAGAGTGATACAGGATTCCAGCGACTGGAAACTGAACCTGTCGGTTTTTCAAGCCCTGCTCAACAGGTACTAGGTGGGGCCCTTTCGAGGTAGATCTTTTTGCATACTCGCTAACACACCAATTTCCCAAATTTACCAGTTGGACCAGATCCAATGGCAATTTACACGGATCCATTTTCCGTGAACTGGAGCGAAGTTCAGGGGTACGAATTTCCCCCATTCGCCCTGATAGGTCGTTGTGTACGGCAGGTGAGGTCCCATAAAGTGGATCAATTAGTTCTAGTAGCACCGGTATGGCCAACTCAGCCTTGGTACCCCTTGCTACTGCAACTGTGTGTGGATCTTCCACTACTATTTCCGATCTCTCCTCAACTTCTGATGAAGGGACAACAGTCGCACACTCTAAGCAATCTTCAATTAGCTGGGTGAAAGCTGTCGGCAAATCCCATGAAACAGCAAACTTTTCAGAAGAAACTCGAAACGTTTTGTTGGCGGCCTGGAGATAAAACCCCAGTAGTGCCTATGCCTCTGCCTGGAGTAAGTGGGTTAGCTGGTGTGATCAACGAAAATTTAATCCACTTTCAACATCAAAAGAATCTATCCTAGAGTTTCTTACAGGACAATATAAGGAGGGCAAAGTATATAAATCAATTAATGTTTATCGCTCTGCCTTATCTGCAGTGTTACCACTTATTGATTCCTGGAAAGTTGATTTTCACCCCTCAGTTTTCCAACTATTGAGGGGGATATTTAATTTACCACCTCCTCAACCAAAATACTCGCACACATGGAAAGTCTCTCAGGTGTTGGGCTACGTAAAATCCCTTGGGCCTAATGAAAATTTAAGCCTAAAAAATTGGCCTTTCAAATTAGTAACACTGTTGGGTCTAACAGCACCAGATAGATCGTCTGACCTAGCTAAACGAGATTTGAGGTGGCGTACTTTTCATCCTGAAGGAGTATCATTTTCACTCTCGGATTTGTCAAAGACCTCTAAACCAGGAGATACACCAAAAACAAGTTATCATGCAGCATTTAGGGAAGATAAGGATTTATGTCCAGTGGAATGTTTAATGTTTTATGAAATTAAAACTAAAGAATTTCGATCTGTTGATGAGCATAACAAACTGTTTTTGTCCCACATTCTTCCTCATAATCCTGTATCTTCATCAACTTTAGCTAGATGGATAAAGTCGATGTTGCAATTAGCAGGCGCAGATACATCTATTTTTACTGCGCACTCATTAAGAGGAGCTGCTACAACAGAGGCATTAAATCATGGTGTTTCAATCACAGATATTTTAGGAATAGCAGATTGGTCTCAGGAGAGTACCTCTGCACGGTTTTATTATAAGCCTCGATTTGATGTCTCACCTGGTAATGCAGTGTTATCAGCTTACCATTCTTGATATTTACATTTTAGAACTTTGAATATGCATTGTTAAATTGAGTCGAGTATCTCGAAATATAATTTTAGATTATGCAAGTCTGTTTTAACAGATGCAGTATAATATTAATTATATGAGAGATATCAGACGAGATTTAACAATGCATTTCCGCCTAATATAGTTAATCCCTCCCTATGCATTGTTAAATGTTTTATAGGTCGTACACAAAAAGACGAATTGAGGGCGCAGTTCAGCGGTAGTGTTAGGAAGCACTAAGAACGTTATTTTGTTATAGTTATAGTTTATATACTTTAAATTCACTGTAAATACGTTAAAAATGAGTGAATATTAAAGATAATGCATTGTTAAATCTCGTCTCATATCTCTCACATAATTAATATTATACTGCATCTGTTAAAACAGACTTGCATAATCTAAAATTGTCTAATTTAGACTTAGTAGAAAACCGCTTTAGCGTCTTTGCTTTTGTTAGTATGGATATCGATAAAATTTGAATCGTTTATAAACACCAAAACGATATATTTTGTTTGTGCTTATGCATGCATCTGGATAAATGCGTGCTTGTTAATTCTGGTTCAGTGTACTGACGTTTTAAATTTGTATGTTGTTCACTGCTTTATACCATTCTGTTAGTCAGATCCGTTGAAACGGTTTGCGAATTTTCGTTCAAACGATTTCTTAATTCACTGTCATTCGAACGGATTGTTGAAGCCGTTCCTAAAGTCGTTAAATTTTTCGTCTTCATCCGTCCGTATTTTTTACTCAAAACGTCTAAAACGTTTTGAGGAACCGTTGGAATGATTTGACAAAACATTTACAATCCGTTCGTTATCCGTTTTTTTTCCCGTTTTAATGCAAAATTTTAACGTACGTTGTCTCATGGAAGACCGCATTTATTCAGCTAAACGATGAGAAATTTCAAGAAAGACATATTTTTAAAATTGTGCAGCGATAATAGATATCTAACGAAATCTTAGCTGCATAATTGTCTACGCTTTCCGAGTTGTTGAAAAATATTTTGTCGATATGATTTTGCATTCCTTTTTGTATTTCTCGTAAAACGGGATATATTTCCACGCTTCCGGTGCATCACACATGGAGCAGTGCGATATCAGGGCGTTTCCCCGCCCGTGTTTTACTACGTCCTAATTTCACTTAAAATTTCCATCCAATATTGTATATGTACTGCAACATTCGACGGTTACGCGTGTTCGTAATTGGCACTTTGAAAATTACTCATAATCACTGTACATGCATGCTCTCCCAACAATTGGTTTAGGCCTACAAAATTAATGTTCGTTTGACGATCTTAGATTCGACGTGATTTTAGTGAGTTTAGGGCCTGTTCATATGATCCCGCTTACCGGGACGTCTCGCTTACCGATGATCTCGCCGCCTATCTATTTTCCTATTAAATTTTGCATTGTGTTCATATGAGAAAGGGAGCTGGCCCGCTTGCCGAGATCTCGTTTGAATTTGCCGAGATCATAGGTAGGCGGGATGAAAAATTTTCCATATGAACACGCCAGCCCGCTTACCGGGATGAAATCAAACAAGTCTTGCCAGTTTAATTTAACACTTTTTACTTGGTTTTATGTTTGTTTTGTAAACAAGTATTAAATATGCACCTGAAGAAATACTTTTTATTGTAAATAAACGAAGAAAAACACTAAAATGGCTAAGTATTTGTGTTGCTTGACTGAAATGTAGAAGTTTTGCATACGCCATTTATAGAACTACAATGTAATTTCATCTCGGCAAGCGGGACGAAATATTCCATATGAACGCACGGAAATATTCGTCTCGGTAAGCGAGACGTCCCGGTAAGCGGGATCATATGAACAGGCCCTTAGAGTAGCTGCAGTTGTGTATGTGGAGATGTCATGTTGTGATTGGCCTGTTTCCTATAGTTTATCTTGTGGGCAGATTTGTTCAAACAGAGCAGCTGCCTGAGGTCTCATAAACATTGACCTTTCACGTGGACAGACTCAAGCGTAAAATATGAGTCATTCCAAGCAGGATAACACTCGATCATGTAATTTACATATTACGTCATCAAAATCTTAGTTCGATAAAATTGTGAGTAAATTTAGTTCAGTACGCAGAGTAAAACTCACATAGGTATAGTTTGAAAATTTTACTATGATACCTTGATAAGTATTTAAAATTGTGAACCTGTTTTGGCATTGATCGATTTAACAGCGAACCGACTCGACATGTGTGACAACGCCTTAAATAAACAGAACTTGAGGGCTGTAACGAGCTAGCAACGCCAACCCACGCTCCTGCAGCTCAACGTTGATTGGTTGGATACAAATCATCCCACTTGCTAGATCACATGTACAGGATCCCCTCGACAGTTAGCTTAAAAGGGCGTGCACAATCGAAAGTCGTCAGTGGACGTAGACGAAGTAAAGCTTAAATGATGAAAAGCTACGAGAACTCAAAACGAAGCAGCACGGACAAAGAAGACAAACTAAAGACAACAAAGATTTAAAGGCTGAAGTGAACTTTAGTAAAACCACTACAAGAAGATAAACATAGTTATTTAAAATTGATGTAACGATTCACTACCTCGCGCGCGTAGAAAACGGAATAAAATCATACATACCTAACACCCTAACACGTGTATTTTCTTGTGGAATCTGTAAGCATTCAGCCAGTTTAGCCACAATATACAAGATCCTCTCGATTTGCTAGGCAAATCCATTACAGCAAATCCTTAATTTTCTTGTGTGTATATTCAGATTCTCATTTTCATATATTTTTCTTTTGTTGTAAGGGACTGGTCATAAAGTAACTGCTAGGGTGGGCTGGAGGTAAATCACAAATTTTGCCAATAAGTTTGATGACCCATCTTAGGATGTAGATAAAAATTTCAAAGCCCATCCAATCTTACCAAATTTATTTCATGACCCACCCACCCAATCTAAATTGGGAAAATACACTTTTATAATGAAAAAAAACTTCCAGGTATGAACATATATCAATACAGTGCCGGTGTATATCTTTATTTTTGTATCTGCGAAGCACATTAGTATTAACGTTTATACCCATAGCCATTCAGCGACGAGCTTGTATAATTACGCCAATCAGCGATTAGCTTACATCAATTGTTTACATCCATTGAACTATAAATAACTACTAATAATAGTTAATAATATAATAATAGTTTGTTATTTATAGTTCAATGTTTACATCATGCTCGCACCTAACCTGCGAACGGGCGTAGTTTGGCCTCGTGTAAGTCGTGTACTCGTGTTATTCTTTTCCATATTTTGGCTTCAAAAATATCTTGATTTTATCTTGAATTGGCTGTCTTGTTTTCACCATTCTACTTGTGATATTATTCCAAAGTTATCTATTAACATGGAAACTTATCCTCATCTAGTAAGTAGCCAAATACCACATTTTATTATATACATTTATACAGTATAAAAACAATCATTGTGTAATATTTTAAACAGTCAAAACTCTGGCTGCAGGCATAATTGCCAATTAACAATATCACAAGAAACTAATGTTCTCAGGAGATATTGAATTAAATCCTGGTCCTGTATTTCTGTAACTCTGTTCAAAACAACAGTCCAACTAAGTTGTCATCAAATGTAGTGTTAGAACAAAGGTAAAGATGTCATCAGTTAAAATTATACTTTATATACATTTTGGTTTTACACAATAGAGTTAATTAATCAAAATTGTTACAACCATTTTCAAATGCTAATAAAAGAATCCCTACCCTCCCTCCTCATTACATTGTATTTTTGCTTTCTAATATAACTGTTTTTGTTTAGAGATTAATACAATAATGATGAATACATGTACTGATCTACTGGATATTGGCTGGATAATTTTGTCAGAACAACCCACTTGCAAGACAATCTTACCTAAATTCATCAGTATGGAAAATAACTTAACAGCTACAATAATCATATATTATATGGATGGATCAGATCAATGGCACACAATGTACAAAACTAAACTTGTGATACCTTCTACTCAAACAGATATTCTCCCACAACACAAATTGTTTTTGTGTGGATATGCTGAGTTTAACTGAACAGTGTGGTATATCATTAACTGTGCACAGGGTTGGAATAGAATTGTATACTTCACTCATGACCTTCAAAACATTCTCTACTATTCAGTGCATGGTCTTCAATATATGATTGACTCTTTGCTACAGTAATGCATGTTTCTCGAATAGTGTGTATGTCACTCAACAGTTAACATTGGCA